TGTGCGGGGGGGGGGTACTGGGCTGACAGGTGAATGTGTGGGGGGTACTGGGCTGAAACGTGAGTGTGTGGGGGTGCTGGGATTCCATGCATGTGTGAGGTGCTGGTTGACTCATGCGTGTGTGGGGGTGTGGAATGACACACACAGCTGCGTGAGAGCAGCGTACGGAACCACAGACACCACCTGCACCGAAGCATCACCCACGTCATCACGCCCTGACGACATCATCCACAGACCAACACCAACAAGAGGGGATTAGAATCCAGGAAGGTGAGTTCGTCACACTGAAGAGACAACTTTGTTCAACGTCTGTAGGGAAGAGCCATCCCTGTGACCAGCCTGAACTTCCACACACTGAGGAGCACATTCAAGGAAACCCTGCTGCTGTGGGCAGCACTGGGAACAGTAGCAAATTTAGCAACTTCAGGGACAGAAGCAACAATTCAGGGACCTAAGACAAACCTATTTAGTTTCAACCATGGATGACTGCTTTCCAGCAGCCGAAAGCATGGACAGTGGCTGTATCATCCACTTCAACCCAGCAGACTGCTGCTCCAAAAGCAGGACGATGGACACAAATGCCAAGAACATTCAGCTGCCACTGAACCAAAGGTGGCGTCACAGAGACTGGCTCACCCTCTCAGGTACTGTGAGCACCAAGGGTTCCAACACCATAGAAGGTGCTGAGCAAGAAGTCAGAAAGGACACAAGGCAGAGTCCTCTCCCCCAACAGCCCGATGGGCAAGCGGCGGCACACACTGACCCCCGGGCCTGGAGTGCTGGGGGCAGGAGACGGCTCACCTCATCACTCAGCATCCAGGCAGCACAAGGCTGACACGGCACCTGTCCACCACGTGTCACAAACACGCAATGACCACGAACGTCAAGCTTCAGCCAAGGACACCGTTGTGCACACCACCACGCAGTGAAGGGAGAAGGGGTGCACAGGGTCACGCTGGGAGACTGCCCAGTCACAAACTGATGCCACGTCACAGACGAGCGCTCCTGCACATGTTGGGACACAGGACACTGTGGACACTGTGCCACACACCAGCCACAGAGGGCAACATCACAGTCACACCCAGGCCAGACGCTGCTGTTGTCACAAACTCAGGACACCCTGATGTCACCGTGAGTGGAAAACCTGATCTCACCTATTATGCCCAAGACCTTTCCTGAACCACGGCATGGTAGAATCCAAGGAATTCTGTGTGTCCTTCTGACACACAAGGACACCATCATTGACACAAGCAGGAGGAACTCAGAACAG